CTCCTCAGTGGCATCAGAATAATCGCACCTCCTGGGCATGAGACTAAACTGTTCACAACACACATCAAATTACAAAAATTAGCTCAAAATTCTTTCAAAAATCAGGCGAATGATTAATTTTATAAGTTGGGGGAGGACTCACATTCTTTTATACATCACTCTTTACTAGTACCCTCCTTCCATACCCAGTTATTTACTCCACAAATCCAATTCTGCCAAAAATTTCTTGTTTTTTTCATGACCTTAATAACAAAAAACGAAAAAAAAAGAAAACTTGGACTTAAGAAGGCTTTATTTCACTTCTTACCCATCATTCTTCAAAAACTTCATTCTTTTTTTTACACCCACAATTACACCCCCTTCTAGTTTCTCATTTTATTTTTTCTTACTCTTACCTTTCCTTAACATCTTTTCTCCCTCAAGACTATCCTTTAACCATACTCACAAATCCTTCCAACTTTCCTTTTCAGAAAAATTCTTTTGTTGGACCACCTTTTTTTCTGGCTTCTTTCATTTTTTTCTCAGCTTACCTTAATCTCTCACTCACTTATAGGCTTGGACCACTCATCTCAGGTTGAGGACAACCTGTAAAGTTGGGGGAGGGGTTTGGGATAGTATTGAAAAAGAAAAAGAATCAAGAAGCAAGTGAACTAAATATGAGCTAACAAGAAAACAGTTTTTTGGATTTTGTAGATTATGAAAATTTTTTTGAGTGTTATAAAGATTATCTATCGATTTTTTTGGCTTTAGGAAGATTTTACCCCTTTATGGACGGCATTCAAACTAGGAAGAAGACGTTACTCTAGGACCACAACACAATCAAACACTCATCAGCAAATATGTATATAAAACGAAAAAAAAAAAAGAAGAGAATAAAAACTTACCCAAGTGACGGAAGTGACGCCTAAGCGACATGTAGCTGCGGTTAAGAAATTTGAAGTGACTAACGCGGTGAGCCTGATCACGAGGACCCGAAGGGCGCTCTGCATTGCAGTAGGCTACAAAACCACTAGCGGCCGATTGATAGAAGGCCGTAAACTCTCGAGGGCAAAAAGCGTACCGATCGAACCTAGCCGGATCCGCTCGACGACTGAGGAGGGAATCGATCTGATGATCCCTCAGGAGATGGAACTCGTCGACGTCGTAGAACCCAGGAGGATCAGGCGAGGCGACACGGGGCTGACGCGCGAAGGGATAGGACTGGTTGCTGGAGGCAGTGTGCCGACTGGAAGAAGACTCGAAAGAGTCTTCAGCTGAGACTGCAGACTCTTCTTGAGAGACGGAAGTCGAAGTAGGAGGCACGACGTCGACAGCGGAACGGACATCGCTGGGCGTGCTCAGATTTCGTGGACGCGGAGCCGGTGGTAGCGTCCAGGGCTCATCAATGACAGCGCGATTTGAGCTCAGAAGCTAGAGGCAGAAAACAAAAATAAAACCCACACTCATTAGCTAAATGTATCAAGAAGGTGTACAGAATGTGAATAAAAGAAGAATGACCTACCGACGACAAGTGATTCAATGACGATTCTGCAACCTCGAAAGGACGACGAGCCACTGGAGAACCCGAGGAACCTCGGCTGTTCGAAGCTGGACGACGCCACTCGGGCGTAACCTGTGGCTGAAACATCGGATTCGGGTCCAGGAGCGGGGTTGGACAGTGCTGGTAGGGCGGTGAGGCGGCACCTTGATCTTGAGGGAGGAGCCCCACCAAACCAGGAGGCACCCGTTGTGCTCTAGAAGCTCGGGTGGCCTTGGGAGAAACCGGCCGCGTGATCGTGCGCGGATCGGCCAGCGGAGGCGGGGCAGACCCTTGAGAGTCGATCTCGATGGGGGAACCAGCTGGTTGGCCCTGAAAACACAGAAATAAAACAAGGACCGAAACAGTTAGCTATACGTCGACAAATTGCATCTGAAATCTAAAGAATCTCTTACCCTGACCGACGATGGCGGCGCGATCGGCGACGCATTCAGAATCGGAGGACGTGAGGACTCTCGAGAGTCCAATTGAATAGGCGAGCCCAGGACTCGACCCTGTAGAAGACGTACCAGCCAGTCAGAAATAAAGATCGGCGACTGGTATTATCAAATACAAATAAGGACGGTGGCTTACTCTCTCTAAAGGACTAGAATGGATCGGGTGGTTCACCCTGGAACGGAGAGGGTACGGATTTGAGGCCCTAGGGCCGGGAGTGTGTTTGTTGAAACGGGGCATGGCTGAGTGGCTGGGTAAGAGGTCTGGGTAGGATGATAAGGTGGCTGAGGGATGAAGAAAGGAAAGAACCGATGATCGAGTCGGTCTTTTATAAACCCACAGTACAGCAAAGCCAAACCTCAAGAACTTACCGACGCTAATACCTACCCTACGGGGACCTTCAGATAAGGAAGGGCCAATGGTCCCACGGACAAGCAGAAACGTGCAAGACTCGACGCGTAACTCTCTCAAAAGAAGCCAGCCCCGATTCCGACCAATCAAATTGAAGGATCTGAGGATGAGTGGTGTGCTCTTACCTCTATCCACGACACGACCAATCAGAACACAGGATCCAGCTCTGGCTGGTGGACCAAGGCCAGCCAGCGCTCGTACGATTGGAAGACCTGTCATCGACCCACGCACTTTTTTGGGGTTGGCCAGGACAGAAGGTTTTTTTTGTTTCCTCTGATTAGTGTAATGTAAAAGGAACACAGAGAGAAGAAAAAAAAAAAATCACTCACCGAGACCGAGCACGAACGGAAGGCGTGGAAAATCCAATCGAAGGCGAGAAGAACGGCGAAGGACGGTGGCGGTGGGGACTGAGGAAATGTAGACCGGCTGGTTTACAGGACCTGCTTGCTCCCCAGGGCCCAGGGTATCCCCATCCCGGACCGGAGCGGCGCACACGGAACAAGGCACCCGCGCTCAGCGCTCTTGACTGCGGCGCAGCTATTTCTCAACCTCGCGCGACCTCCGAACTAAAACTCGACCCCCGAACGATCAGAAACCCTCTGGGGCCCCTCCCAAGGGGCTTTGCAGCTAAACCCGACTAACCAGCCACTCTACGTCAACAGGGTGGTCACCCAGACGTCCAATGCTGCGCAGCTGCGCACAGCGCGCAGCAAATCAAAATTTGTATGTAGAAAAAAAAAAAAAAAAAAAAAAAAAAAAATGTGTACCCCACCTGTGTACTGTGGGCAGAAGGGGGGTACACAGGGACCCTGAGGCTAACATTCACAGGGGAACCCTGTTAAAATTAGCTGTAAAAATTAAAGTTTAAGTATAAAAATCACAAATACGGCTACCCCAGCTTGGCTCCACTGCAAAGTTGGGGGAGGCTATCACACTCTTTTTCCAGCCACACTCATTTTTTTTCCAGCTTTTTTCTCCAAATACCCACTAACCTTTTCACTTCATTTCATGTTTAAAAATTAACTCTTTCTCTATTTTTCTTCCCATTTTTTCCTGGTAAATTGTCTGGGGACAGACAATAAGTTGGGGGAGGCTGTGGTAGTCAAAAATGTGAAAATTCAAAGTTTTTTCTTTCTTTTTTCTTATATATATTTTCTTCATATTATCTCTCACTATCCCTCAGAAATCACACCATACGGCTCAAGAATTGGACTCTACGGACAAATTCACCCCTGGTCACCACGGAGGCGTCACTGAAACACACACTTGGATCAACTCTTACCCAACAATGGACGACATATCACAAGGATTTCACGCATCAATACATTACACCAAACCCAATTACAACCCTCAAGCTACACAGACACCCTCAGTACAGTACACACTCATTTACATACATCTACACTCTTTACATTTCACTTTTACATATTACATCATACCTGCAGCCTAAATTAGTGTATTTTCCTTGCATGACAGCTGCAGCTTACACCACCACATTCACTTGTAAACACATCAGAACCTGACCAATCAGAATCACTCATTCAGCTGCTTGAATCACCACTTCAACTCTTGTACATGTCTGACCAATCACATTCACTCATTCAAATTTTGTATGTAGCTAAAAATACCTCATGTAATAGCCCAGGCCAGCCAAAATCACTCATTACTGGCTGCCCTGGAGCTAAATTCCCTCACTGTTGTATATATAAGGAGGCTCTCCTCCCAGTTGTTTAATCCTCAGTCAAGTAACACTCAAGCAATATTTGACCACCTTACACAAACACTTTACAGCGCCAACCAAAACCAAATCAACAACTCCTCATCACACAACTCATTCCTGAACTTTTACCCTATCACTTGATTAAAACTTTCCAAGCCAAGCTTGGTGGGTCTTGTTATCTGATAGTATAGAAGGGCAGAGTTTACACTCCACCATCCCCTTCTCCATTCAGCAAAAAGGGTCTTACAACCACTTTTTGAGTCTTACACCGCTCTTTCTGAAAAAAGGAAATTGAAAGCATCATGTATGAATTACTGCAAAGAAAACTGCCCTGAAGTAAATACTTCATGCAAATTCTTTGGCCTGTTATGAATCACAAGTGATACAAGAGCAAGACAATGCAATGAACTGGGTATATCCCACAGGAGGGATAACATCAAAACCCGACAGCACAAGTACAAATGTTGCAACACAGTTCTCTAAAACAACTAAAAATCCTCAGAGCCCAAAGGAAACCTATTTCCAAGATCTACAATTAGTTAGTAGATATTGATTATGAATGAGCTCAATCATTGAACACAGTAATGCTGTCTGTGATTTTTCAAGTACTTATACGAGGTTTGAAAGATCACTTACTTTTTATATGTTTGAAGTCACAGATCAAGAATTGACGGGGATAAATCAATATGTTTTATTTTAATTTTTGATAGAAAAGAAAGTAAATCAATGGCAGGGAGTACAAAGAAAGGCAGCTATATTTGTTGCATATGTGGGATTTACAGAATCAAAATCATGGATATTAATGATGTATAAAGACAATCATGGAAAGTGATAAGATAGGGAGGCACTCAATCGATGAGTTCAACACATCACAATAAAAATTTAAAAAGAGAGTCATAGAAGAAGGCATGACGTGACTCACTGAGCTTACACAGCTTCACTTTTGCCAATCACTTTTAGGACAGTTATTGACCATCCTGTTTCCTCAAACTCCCAGTGTCCCTCCTGGAGTGCAGCTCAGCCAAAAATAACCCTAACCTCCCTGTCAAATCCTGTCACCTCTAGGTCAATGGGTTTTTTTTGTCACTTTCCCTGCTTAATTCCAAAGTGCTTTTGGGACATACTCATCATTCAAGGATATGTACAGGATCAAATTAATAAATATTTATCCAGAAAAAGGAAGAAAGACAATCAGAGAAAGAGACACCAAAGGAAGACAATTAACTTAGGAGAGAAACTCACAAGAATAAATAATTGGTAAGAAAGAAAAGTCCCAGTGGAAGAAGGCAGGTGAGGACACACCTGTTCTTGTTCCAAGAACATCTGGGAAAATAAATTGTTTGGTGAATTGAGAGAGTGCACCTTCTGGAGCACATACAACCCACCCAAAACCTCACCAGAACCTACCTCTCAATTACTTTCACCTCTGGGTCAATGAACTTTTTGGCGGCCAATTCAGATTGACATGTATTCTTTTTCCACCATTGCTGCAGTGATTGTGGTTCCTGCTCAACCAGTGAGCCCAAATTGATACTCTGACCTCCTTCTCAAAGTAATTCACCACTAGGTCAATAGCTTTTTTGGGGCATCCTTTGAACACATTGCTTTATTTTTCCTTTTCCTTATCAAGATAGGCAGATACCCTACAAATTATATGCTCTTACTAGCCCCTTTCTCACAAATCAATTTCAACCTGGAGGCATCAGTTATCCAGGTAGAATCTAAGTCCACTTCCTACTTAATCTTACTGACTCATTTGTGATTTTTATGGCTTAAACTTTTAATTGGTTGCTTGTCATATCATGGAGAATTAATATTTCTGTATTGGTACAGCTTGATTTCCTACCTGGTTGCAGTTCATATCATGGAAATTTAAAATTAAATAGTCCGAATACATCAACACATCATGCAAAATAACAATTACACAGTCTAGATACATCAACCAGCCACATTTTTTGTATTATTTTTCTACCTGGGCTGGATCAAAGTCTACCTCAGGAAATCTTTCTCAAAAAATCAGGCAAAGGCCCAATGACCAATGGTCTACCTGGTCTACCTGTCCCCTATACGAGGTAGACAGGTAGACATCATTGGGCGCCCATATGTCTGATGAAAACACTAGGGGCCATTGGATTCCCGACTACTACGCCAGGTCCCCGATGGCCCCACAATACCCAGACAGATGAACAACTCCGCTCAAACCTGTCTGGGTACAGCGCCTCTTCGGGGGGTGAGGTGCATTGAGTGACCTAACCCCCTAACCCTAACCCCCGAACCCCCTCCCCCCTACCCCCAAACCCCCTAACCCCCTAACCCCCATCGGGGGATGGGGCCAGTGGGATTTGAACCCACGACCTGCTGGGTGGTCAGATCTTAGGGCCAGTGCAAACCACTGAGCTACAGAGACTTTGTCTCTGCCTTTGTTTTTGGAAATCTAGTCAGCTGGGGGACCCAGCTCAGGCAGCTCACCCATCTCTGGCTCCCCTTCGGTTCCAAACCGAAGATAATGGCACCATTTTCTTCGGTTTGGAACCGAAGAATTCAAGTGACACAGGTGCAACTTGACCAAGGTGTCTTTTATTGTTCTATGTCCACGTTCCACCATTCCATTTGCTTCTGGATAGTAAGGTGTCGTGACTCTAGTCTGAATACCCATTGATTTAAGAATATCTTGAAACTGAGCTCCGAATTCTGATCCTCCGTCCACCACCACATTTGTAGGTGTGTCATACCAAAGTATCCATGATTCATGAAACCATCTGGCTATTTTCTTTGCTTGAATTTTCTCTAGGCCAACCGCTTCGACCCAACCAGAAAGATCATCTCTAGCCACTACTAGGTATTTCCATCTGCCTGCTTTTATATGGAGTGTATCTAAACTGACTCGACTGAATAACACAGATCTTCCTGTTGTGTGCCGTTCCTCCACTGGTAACGTTGAGCTTCGCTTCTGGCAGGGTTCGCAGGATCTGACCCAGTTTCTTACAACTCTCTTCAAGTGGGGCCACCAGAACCGTAACTTGACTCTTTGATACGTTTCTTCTGTTCCTTGATGTACTAGACTTTCATGGAGTTCTTTTAAGATTTTCTTTTGTATTGTTGGCACTGAGATTACTACTTGCGAATATGGCTGGCTCTTTTTGTGTAAAACACCGTTTGAGATGAAGAAAAAGAAAGATTTTTGTTTAATTTGCTTGAATTCTTCTGCACTAATTCCTGGGGGTCTATTCATTGTTGATAAATAATATTCTAAATTTTTCCAGAATCCTTCTTGCAGGTTCACAACCTCCTCCCCCAACTTAGCTGTTGTCCCCAACAGTCGTACGGAGAAAGCTGCCTTTGTTCCAAATCCTGGGTGCGGTCTCATTGATTCCTCGTCCTCATCAAAACTGGGACTATCTTCTTCATCCGGATCTGGCGGTCTTCTGGATAATCCGTCTGGCATTGTGAAACTTTTAGCCAAAACATGTATTAGATCAAATGAAAATAATTGAATAAA